ATGTTTAAAAATTAAAATAATAAATATATTTCATTTATTTATTTGTATTAAATTTATTGGTATTCAAAATTTCATTTATTTAAAGTTTTATTTTAAAAAAATCAACTTCATTCCATTCAAATCAACGCATTAATCAACACATTGTTGTATTCCACCTATTTCATTGATTTCACCGACCACACTTGTAGTTGTATTCCACCTATTCAATTAGCGAATTAACTTTCAATTAATTTCATTAAGCAAATATAATCCTAAAAAAACACAAATTATACAAAATTAGACCAAAAAAATTAAATCACTTCATTCTTCTAGTGCTTCTTCTTCTTCCCGTCTTCTTTCCCTTCCCTAGCTCTTTGTCTCTCCCTCGCTCCCTCCCCTCTTCCTCCTCCTCCTCCTCCTTCATTCTCTTCCTTTTTCTCTCTTTTTTAGTTGGATGTTGAGAACTCAATTTGGGTTTCGCTAGGGAGAATTTAATTTGGGTTCTCATTCTCCCAGATGTGGTCCAATGGAACAACAGGATTGGGGCCTAATCTGGAAAGTGAAAGTGAAAGGGACCAATTGAGGAAGGAGAGGATGGTACTAACTATAGTTGTAAGGAAGAGTAGATGATCAAGATTTCTAGTTCTAGGTTGGCGAACCCATCCACGGTGGGTTTTTGGATAGATGCTTGTTGCACTATTTCTTTCCTTGATGATTTTGAAAGTAAAATTTAAAAAAGTTGATTGATTATTTGAATATGTTGTTTAATTTAGATTTGGATTGCCAATCGAAAAAAATATATATTTAATTTGGATTCTCTCTTGGAGAACCCAAAGATCAAGAAGGAAGAAGAAGAGGAGAGGAGAGAGAAAGAACAAAAAGGAGGGAAGAGGAAGGTGAAGGTTGAGAGAGAAAGGAGTAGGTGGAGGTACAAGAGGGAAGATGAGAGGAACAAGCTGAAAATGTTGGATGGAAAGAGAAAAAGCCACGTGAAATGAGAAAAAAAAAAAGGCCACTTCATCACTTTATGCTTGTTAAAGGTGTAATTTTTTTTTTTGACAATTTAACTTGCCATCTATCACTTCTGCCAAAGGAAAGCATGGAAATTGGTACTGAAAATTGAAACTCAAGGATACATTTAGGACTTTATAAAGTTTGAGAATAAATTTAGTATAAATTTAAAAGTTGAGGAATTAAATTGGTGTTTTAACTAACTTAATCTTAACTTTTGGTCACCATTAAGTGGAAAAATTCACATCTGTTAACTAAAAAACAAAAGAAAGAAAGAAACATGTAGACTTATAATATGGGTACTCAAAAAAGAAGTGACTTCGATAGTAAGGGATTTTTTTTTTATTTTATTGATTAAAATTTGATTTTTTAAAGAAACTATTAAAGAAATAATTCCTTATAAATTTATAGTCTGCGGCATAAATAAATTGCTTTTTAACGGACCAAAAAGAAACCAGTGTTAAAGTTTCTCAACAAAAAAATCAATTAAGTGATCGGACTTTGTATATTAGAAAATGATTGATATATTTTTGGTTTAGCACACTTTATAACATACTCATTAAAAAGTTATTATTTTTAAATTTAAATTCATGATAAAAAAATTTTTAAAAATAAATTTTAATGATTGAATTGAAATATATTGTATATTGTGTTAAATTAAAAAGTGTATCAATTATTACCCTTCTATATGAATTATATGTGTCTCCACAAGTCTTATTTTAATTGATTGAAGTGAGATTTTTTCCGCTTGTAATACACCCTTTCAAGTGCAGATTGATATAAATGAGCATTGTCTCATATCATATGGGCTAACAACACATCTAACTTCACCGAAAACAAAGATACCATATTACAAAATAAAAAAGAAATATTTTCGTGAAGAAATATTCTGCATTTTTCTTGATATTCCATGTACATGTATAATTTATATATATGCTAAGGATACATAACTATACATCAAAAAGAAAAAAGGATCACTTAACTCTTGCCTAAGATTAAGCCTAAGATTTTGTTTACAAGATTGATTGTCAGACTTGATTTCCTTAAAATCTAATTCAAGACTTTGAACTTTGAAGTTTCAACGTTTCATCATGCATGGTGAAAATTCCTGGAAATTAAAAAAAAGGAGGAAAGTACAAAAAAAGGAGGAAAGCACCTAAGAGGAAGTTGCCGAGAATTTGTTTCGGAGATATCGGTACCATACTGACCGGTCAATATGTTTATTTAATACTTAACCTTTTTTTCTTCCCGTACCAGCTTACAATTTGGAAGCTGCCAAGAAACTAGTCACCCAGGCTTTTCATTTTTATAATTTTGATAGGTAGGTCCTAAAATCAAATCAAATCAAATTCCATGTATTGTTAATCTGTTGGACACTTAGTGGTATATAATTTAATTTAATGCATTACACAATATATTTATTAAAAAAATTATTATTATTTATTTAAAATTAAATACTAATAAATTTAAACAGCTATACAAATATGATGTAGGAATTGGAGTGGAAAAAACTCAATTTTCCTTAAATAAGTTTTCAAATTTAAGTTGTGTATAAAGAGATAAGTATTAAGAGAACTTCTTTCCTAATACGGTTCAACTTAACTCGATTTCATATTAATTATGATCTAATACAATTTCTAAAAATCGAAAGTTTAGTAAAAAAAAGAAAAGATACAATAATCAACTAAATTAACTATTTTTATATTATATTTTAATAATTAAATTAAAATAAATATTAAAAAATATGTTACTCCAAATGTATAACAATCATTTTTCTAATTTGTTGGTGATTATGATGAGTTAGTTTGTACATGTTAGACTCTAAAATTTGTATTCTTAGATTTGGTCAAATTTAAGCCACACCAACACCAAATATGTAGGTTTATATCAAAGGAAATTAACTTGCCACTCATGCTTTTTAATTTTATAATTTTGATAAGTAGGTCCTAAAGCCAAATCAAATTAAATTTACCTATAGTTAATTTATTAAATGATCATCTTAAGTTAACTTGTGCGTGTTAAACTAAAATCTGTATTTTTGGATCTGGTCAAATACAAGCCACACCGACACCGAACCTATAGGTTTATATCAAAGAATTGAATCTCTTCCTTACAACAAACCATGCTAAAGCTACACTCTTGAACATATGAAAAATTCAAGATTTTAATTTCTCGTCTATAAAATCTTATAGTTCGTTTGATATATATATATATATATAGTTGAAGATTTTATAAAAGTAATCTTAGCTAGAGTTAAAATTTACTAAAAGAGATCATTTCATAAACTACAAACTATATCCAATTAATGATCTATTGTTATCATAATGACTATCTCAAACAATGGTTAAGAGATATTAGCCGACGTGTTTTGTTTAATTAAATAAACTCTCCAAAAAGCCCGAATGCCGGTATGTTTTTGCTATTACGTATGAAACCCTTTGTCTTCCGTCATTAGATCCAGACAAAATTAACCAAACAATTGCAAAAAAACACAAAAGAAAAAGGAAGAAAATTACAAAAAACCAAGTTCTTCGTATTATAGCTAAAAGTTCATGGGAGATCTGAGTACCATGTTATCATCAACATATATATTACAGACACAGACACAGAAACAGAAGGAATATTTCTTGGGATTTTTGTTCTGAATCCACGAACAGACGTGTATTCGTGATACTAATTAAGTAAGAAGTGGGGGGTGATACAAGTAACCCATGTTATCCCACCCTCATAAAACCCTAAATATCATTTTTGCTCTGTCCAACTAAACACACACTGATGGAAATGAATGAAAGAATTGAAACCAAATTAGCCAAGATCGAAACCATGCTTACACCCTACGTTAATCGACTTTCTCTTGGCTAGAATTGGTAGTCTCCTGATCTGAAAGAAGGTCATCCATGTCGAAATTATGATTAGGAGATTTCATCCTGCACCATGATCGAACTCTTACGATGCTAGAGTGCATGCACCAAACCCTCCTCTTTCCTCTTTGGACGAAACAACTTATTCAACAAAAACCCAGTTTTGTTCTTCTTCGCATCCCCATCTTTATTCCCTCTCATTATCCTTGGAACAAAAGCGACTGTTCTGCTCTTGGCCAACAACCTATTATTCCCACTGCCAATCGAGAACAAAGACGAAAAAGACCCCTTACCGGACGCATACCGACGATCATAACGGTATACAGGAGAAGAACAAGAAGAAGCTGAAGTACAAGATGAGTAATTAGAAGACAAAGAGGAAGAGGAAGAAAAAGACTCTATCTTAGTTTTCGCAATGCTGCGAGAGCTAGAAGTCGATAGGTGAGATAGTTTTGCCCTTAAACAAAGCGAGCAAACGCCCGGCGATTGGCGGTGCTTGGGGTGCTTTTTGCATCCGACGGTAGGCTTACATCTTCCGGTGGCAGCGGCGGCGGCGGCGGCCGCAGCTTCCTTGGATCTTCTAAAGTTGGTCATTGGCATTGGAATTGGAATTTTGAATGATCTGTTCGTGGATGGCACGCATGTGAGTGTTTGGATATATACAAAAGAAGATGAGAGGGTTCGGTGGGGAGTGAATTTTCTTGGATAGTTCAGGGGAGACTTTGTTACGGTTGTGATATGGTGTGGAGATTGATTGGTGGGTGGCGGGGGCCATTCGAGGAAAAACAATTAAACTCCAACTTGGTCCTTCAACTATTGCATGACCCTAAATTGGCCTCCAAAACTTAAAAATCCCTGTTTAATTTTTTGAAGTTTGGAAATTTAACCCCATTTTAGTCCATCTGATAAAATTTTGCTTAAATAATATCACATTCGTTTAGTTTTACCTGACATGGCAACATATTCCGTTAAGTCATGTTAACTAAGAGAATCATGCTTTTTTTTTTTTTTTTTTTAAGGAATGAAGTGGAAATGCTATGTTGAAATAAACAATGACATGGATATAAAATGGATCCACATTATCATTTTAGGTAAGGGTCGTAACAAATGAACAATTTTTTTATATAATTTTTTATTCAATTTTTATATATTATTAAATGAATGAATATATTTAATATCATAAGTTTTAAATGAATAAAAAATTAATAATTTAAATAACATATATAATTATATTAAAAATAATAAAAGGAATTATCTTTGAATTATTTTCTTTCAAGTAAACACTTTTGTTTTGGCCCACATCAACATTACTTGTCATAATTTTTTTTTCAATACATTACTTAACTTAAACTTGAATTAAATGAGTAAAAAGTGATTAACTTAGCTATAGTAATTAAATGACTAACAACATTTCTTAATTACTATTTACCAATAACTTGTAATTAAATAGTTAAAAAAAATAAAACCCTAAAAATAATTTTTTTACTCTTTTCTGGGTTCATCCTAGGGCTGGGCATGGTATGGTATGGTAACCGTACCGCACTCAAACGATGGTAATTGTTTTAAGTGGTAATGAAAAAGAATTACCACTTCCATATCAATTGATGATTTTTTGGTAATGGTTGCCAACCGTTTTTAATGGTAATGAAACTTGCTTTACCAATACCATACCATATTACCATCTTTAAACTTATTTTCTTCAAGACCAATTAATTCAAATCATTTAAAATTCAATTTTAAAAGCTCAAAATTATATTAAAAACTTATTTTCTCCGTACCGTTCTTCATCATCTTGAAGCATACAAATATATAATTATACA